TTATTTGCTGTTTAAGGAAGATATTATCCGCTTTTATGCACCCAAGGACCAGGATATGGTTGGCCGGTTTTATATCTGGATACCCTTACTGACGCTGCTCTGGTCTTATCTGAACCAGATGGACGCTTACCTTACCGGGCTGCATAAGAGTGCGGTATCCGCATTTGTGCGTGAGGTCATGATCCGGATTATCAACCTTGTGTTGATTGGCCTGTTATACTATGGTTACATCTCCTTTGCCTTCTTCCTGGCCGGTTGCATTCTTACTTATGCCCTGGCTTTTATTTTATTGATACCTGTTGCCATGAAGACGGTTGGTTTTGGCTTTAGTATGAAATGGAGCGCTTTCAGTAAGCAGGAGTATCGCGAGCTGATCCATTTCAGTTGGTATCATATGCTTACCGCCGTCTCTATTGTAGCCATTGTAAATGTGGGATCTTATATGCTGGGCATTTTTTCGGCCAATGGCCTGGATGCCGTATCTGTATATGGCGTCGCAATATTTATTTCCACGATTATGATCATCCCTTACCGGGCAATGGCGACTGCTGCTTTCCCATCTCTTAATATGGCCTATACCAACAATGAGATGACGAAGCTTGCCGGTATGTTTAGCCGGGCAGCTGTAAATACCCTGATCGTTTCTGTACTGATGACCGTTTTGATTGCCTGTAACCTGCACAACGTGTTATTTATTCTGCGTAAAGGATATGATGACATCATTCCCCTGGTCCTGATCTTACTGTTGGGGCGCCTTATAGATACCGCCACCGGGCTGAATACCGAGGTGATCATCATCTCTAAGTACTATAAGTTCAACTACCGGATATCTATGTTGCTGGTCGTGATCCTTATCGGCTTCAATTATTTACTGATCCCCCGGTACGATGTATATGGCGCTGCCTGGGGTACCACCATCGCACTGACCATTTTTAATGTCTGCAAGGTTATTTTTCTTTGGAAGAAAATGGGCCTGCATCCGTTCTCAAAGCATACGCTGCCTGTTTTACTGACCGGTGTAGCCGCTGCTGCTGCCGGTTACCTGTTGCCTGAGCTGCCGCATTTTGTTGTGGATGTAATCGTCCGTTCCACCGTAATTGTTGCCGTCTATGGCGGTCTCCTGCTTTGGTTAAAACCTTCTGAAGATCTGCGTACCTACCTGAAATCGGTAAAAGAGAACAAGCGGCTGTTTTAGTTTTAAAATATCTTTAACGCCCCCTTGTTAAAAAGCCAGGAGTTGTTACCTTTACTTTGTATTTCAAAGCGCTTTTATGCAAACAGAACATGCCAACTCTTTAGAAACGCTCAAGGATATCCGCGCTATCATGGAGCGAAGTGCGAAGTTTGTATCGCTCAGTGGTTGGAGTGGGGTATGGGCGGGTTGTACCGCGCTTGCAGGTGCTGTAGTAGCCAGGAGCATTTTACAGGATTATTTTGGAGGAGCTATTGTTGGCCTTTTACCCGCAGATATTACCGCCCCGATCTATCTCCGTTTATTTGGATTGGCTATTATCACCTTCTGCGTTGCCGGCCTGGGTGCCTTTTACTTTACCATGAAAAAAGTAAAGAAACAGGGACAGACGATCTGGGGCAGCGCTTCCCGTAAACTGATGATCTCTGTGATGATCCCGCTGATAGCCGGGGGGCTGTTTTGCCTGGCCTTCCTGATGCGTGGGGATGATTTTTACGTGGGCCCGGCCTGCCTGGCGTTTTACGGCCTGGGCCTGGTAAACGGTGGGAAATATACGCTTGGAGAGATACGATACCTGGGGTATGCACAATTGTTGCTGGGCTGCATCTGCCTTTTCTTTCCCGGCTACGGCCTTTACTTTTGGGCCGCCGGTTTCGGGGTCATGCATATCCTGTACGGAATCATTATGTGGAACAAATACGATAAGCATGCTGCGGCATAACAGACCATGAACAATCCCATAGCACAACTGAATAAAATCTTTGACAGCCGCATACGCATCGGTATTATGAGCGCATTGATGGTGGGGGAAGATATCAGCTTTAACGACCTTAAAGGCGTTATTGACGTGACCGATGGTAACCTGGCTTCGCATCTGAAAACACTGGAGGAAAGCGGGTTTATCAAGGTGCAGAAGGGATTCATTGGCCGCAAAACAAACACTACTTATTCCGTGACGAAAGCCGGTGAAAAGGCCTTCCGCAGTCACCTCGATGCCCTGGAGCAGATCATTAAAAATCTGAATGGATAACTAATTCTATTTTTTTGCCTAATTCACTTTGTAATTAAAAGTACTTTTCATGAACGTTGTTAATTTTTCTCTTCGTATCTGGGCGGTGGCACAGCTCCTGTTTAATGGTTTGGGCTTACTGCTTTCCGCATTATCTATACTGCCTTTGATGCTGGTACCGGCACTGGCGGGTGGCTTATGTTCCTGGATCTTTTTCTTTGGCTCATTGGCGGGTGTTGTCCGGTTTACTTCGAAACGGCATGTTGCATTCTTGCTGCTTTCGATAGCCGTATTGATCTCCTGTTTTATACCCCTGTATCTGTTTACCTATGTGCAG